AGACCTAGTTGACTGTCAGGTGCCATTTAGTTGAACCCACTCACTCCAAAGATATATCTGTGTCAATGGTAGAGAATATTCATGATGGAAAGGCTCCTACCATTTAGTAATAGTACTTAATATATTTATTAGATTACTATTGCACAATTTATAAAAACCATTTAATACAAACAACAGTTTTCTATAATATCTTCCTGGGGGCCAGGACTGTGGGTGGTGCAGTGTCATTAGCATAGCAATAAGAGAAGAGAATGTTCCTGCATCTCCTCTAGGAGGCTCTGGGCTCCTCCTGCTTCTTCCTCCTAAGTGATGAGATCAAAGGCATGCACCATCATGTCCCATGCAAGTCCCTGTTCTTAACTTCTACCCTGTCTCTCTAGCTCTGAAATGTCACTAGCCCGCTCTAGTATGTGGCTCTGTTCAGACTTGCCATTTTCTCCCATTCCCTCTGGTTTGCTAAAAATAAACCTTTAGTTTACTTTCCTAAAGCTAGCCACTAAGGACTATTCCCATATTTGCCCACCTTCTCCTCCTGACACTAACTACTGAAGTCCAGCAATCAAAGCCCTCTTTGGCTCATCCAGTTGATTTGCCAATTAAAATTAATCATGTCATTCTAACACAGATTTTCCCTCTTTATTTTTGTAAACCACTGCTTGCCTATGTGCCATGTCTTTTTTTCTCTCTATTCAGAGGCAGTCCTTTGTCCCTCTTGGACAAGTACCCCTTCCGTTTCTCCCTCATTCCCTATTTTGTTTACAACATCATCCTAGTTCCTTTAAACAGATGTCCGCTCTTTCTTTTCTTAAAGATTACACCTGCAAGGTCATTTACTGTTGTTTTCTGCCGTAGTTACAAAGCATTTACTTTAACATTTCTTCCTAGATCAATAAAGAATCTCTGTGAAAAAGGTATTTGGACAATGTTAATGCCTAATCCAGGGTGTGAGGGAGCCCTTGTTGTGCAGGTATCCCCTCCAACCCCTAGATTAAATATTTTTAAAAAATTATACCTATCAGAAATGTCAGAGATGGTGGTGGCTTCTGGCATCTGCTTTACTGCAGAAAAGCTCCAACATGCTTGAAAGATACATAGACGCTCTGAGGGCAGACTTAGCAGAAGAGGAGTCTGCCGAGCCTGCAGTATATCCTGGAGGAAGTGATAAAAATCAGGTCACATGAGAAGATTGTTTTAAAAATTGTACTTGGGGAATTTGATGGAAATATGATAGAGGGCAGCAGCGAGTGTTACAAAGAATGGCAAAACTGGAAATATTGTGGTGAAGGGTATGGGAGAGTGTGGTCACTGCAGATAAAGACCATGCCACTACTGAATAAGGCCCACCCGTGGACTGCAGACTTGCCCACAGCACAGAGCTTCTGTTCACCCTGTTGGGAGAAGGGGATCTTGGACCACAAGGCTACATGTAGGCTGCAAGCACAACAGTTGCATCCTGTGAAACCTCAGGGTGTCTGCCACTGAAGACAAGGAGAAATGTAGCCATCTGCAGCTCTCAAGGATTCTGTCCCAGATGCCCTGCCCAGATTGAAGAGCATCATGACCCTGGACAATGTACATGTAAAGCTGTTTGTACCAAAATTGTCTGTCGTCTATGGCAAATAGTGTGGCTAATTTTGCATTCTTATCTTCAGGCAAACTTTGTTTGCAAAATCATACATAAATCATATACACAAAATGTCACCACACAAATATGTGATTGGGGTGTGGCTAGAAAGTGAAATAAGTATGTGGTGGAAAGAAGTGGTACTACAGATTTGTCAGTGAAAAAATATTGGAGAAGTTTGCGTGTCCTTACCTAGTAGGGCCTACAGGGTGCTGTGCAAAGACATGACATTTGAGTAGGCTCTGTCCCCAGAAAGCCATGTCCTACTGAGCTATCTCTATACCTATGGGCAAGACAGGAAGTTTGAGAAGGAGGTCAGTTTGTTTTCCTTATTGAATCACTTTGAAAGGCCTCTGTGCTGCCTCCAGAGGCCCTGTCAGTGTCAGTGATCTATGCTGTTTCCTCAAGCCATGTTGATGTCCATAGTCCATGTGGATGTCTGTGGTCTGCACTACTGCCAGAAGCCATGTTGGTATCTGTGATCCATGATGCTACTGGAGTCCATGTTGATGCCTGTAGTCCTAGAATCATGGTGATATCTGTGGTCCATGCCATCACTGGAGGCCACATTTTTATCCATGGTGTGTGCTGCCAACTGAGACTATTTTGATGTTTTACCACAGACAAATAGATGTCTGCACACTGGCCTGACATCTGAGACCTTGTTAATGCCTGTGGTCTGTGATGCTGCAAGAGGCCATGTGGATGTTCATGGTTTGTGCTCTAGCTAGAGGCCATGTTGAGGTACATATCCTGTTCTATTACCAAGGCCATGATGGTACACACTGACGATTCTAAAGCCAAGGCCTGTGTTGATGTCTGTGGTCTGTGCTCCCACTAGAAGCCATGTAGATGTTCATTGTCAGTATTACTATGAACTGTAATGGGCAAGGAAGCTTCTTTTGCAGTAGAATCAATGACTACAGCCTCACAGTTGAGAATGAGCGAACTATAAATCTTCTATATTATTTCCACCTTCCTACAGCCAACCTACCAAACCTGCCTAGACAGGCAGCCATTGAAGAAAACTCTTTAAAAATGTAATAGGGTTGTAAAACTGTAGCTCCTCACAGTTATAGTTTCTGCTGGGATGGGGAGATGAGGGTGAGGAAGGACTCAGCTTTCCTTCAGAGGCTGGATGCTGCGAGATTGACCGTGCTCCAGTGAGCATATGGATAACACAAATTAAACTTGTCTATTTTTTCTATTTTATGACATATATTTCCACAGCTCACTCTTATTTATGTGCCAGTCATTACCTTTCACTTCAAGTGAAAGAGAGTTCTAGTAGTGTGATGGTGCCTTTTGCAAACATAAACTGGTTCTCGATTTCATTTAAGTTTCTTTAGAATAAGAGAAACCCCATAAGGAATATAAGGAAATTCCACTTCCTAGTGACTGTGAACAGAGCATCAATGAAATAAACAAGTTTGCAGATGTAGAGTTCTTAAACATACTACACTAAGTGGCAGAGCTGGGTGATGTGGTAGATTTATCTTTAGGTTTTGAGGATTCTCCACACTGATTTCCAGAGTACCTCCATCAATTTCCATTGCACCCAACAGTGAATGTGAGTTCCTTTTTCCCCACAACCAACACCAGTTGTTTTACTCATTTTAGATACTCTGGGTAGGGCGAAATGAAATCTCAAACTTGTTTTAATATTCATTTTCCTAATTTCTAAAGATGATGAACATTTTTAGATTTATCTTTTAGTCATTTTTAGTTCTTCTATTCAGAACTCCATCTTGTCTTCTGACATCTCCATTTCCTTTACCAGGAAATGATGGAGTGAAAGGGGATGGTTTAGTGAGACTGTTGAAATGGCCTGAGGTCACTTTTTTGGTTGTGTCAGTCCACTAGGGGGCAGTGCATGATTCCTAGAAATTACTGTCCTTAAGTTGCCTAGAGCTTTGAAGATCTGAGGAGAAATAGGGACACAGGGCAATCCACTCACAAAGAAAGAAGTGGGGATGATGATGTGGGGATCACCCAGATCTTTACCTCTCAATCATTCTGTTGAAAACCACAGACTTCTAGGTTCTGTTTGCTGGATTCCATGTGTGTATCAATCAATTTTAACAATTCTCTGAACAAAATAAAATCTCGCTGGGCATTGTGAGAATGGATACACAATAGAAAACATCTCCAATGCTCTCTTTTTTAAAATTTTGTTGGAAAGTTCCTAAATTCAAAGAAATAGAAATATTCCAACACACTTAATACCCTTTACTATACACACAGACACATACACACACACACACACACACACACACAGAGAGAGAGAGAGAGAGAGAGAGAGAGAGAAAGAGAGAGACAGGGAGGGAGGGAGGGAGACAGGAAGGGGGAGGAAGGAAGGAGAGAGGGAGGGAGGGAGAGCAGGAAAGAAAGAGAATACTCTAAACCAGAAACCAAAAGAATAACTTTTTTTTAGAAATGCTAAGATATAATAAGTATGAAAACAGAAGGAATCATGCCTCACTGAACTTAGAAAGACATTCACAGCCTGGTCAGACTCAATGTGCTTTCCTATCCAATGGTGAAAAAGAGCTATGCAGAAGACATAAGATGGAAATTACATGAGGGCAGAAAGACAGGCATGTCTCATTTTTGTTACAATCAACAAAACTGTCATTGGAAACATTTTCTATGCACAGGTCTGATGATATCAAGAAATTCATTTTATTTTGTAGAGCACATTACACGCTGATCTTTTACATTGTGTACTTAAGAAATCTGCTAGGACTCTCTCACTGAGTGTATTAACCACATGTTAAGGTGGACCCCATGGCCACACATAGGTGGACAATACAGAATGAACTCCATGATGTTTTGTATCATATTGTATGGTCTGGGTGTTCTTTTGGTGCTTTGTCTTTTCTGGTTTTGTTTGTTTGCCTCTGTGTTTGACTTAAAGAGGGAGAAAAAGAATGTGGAGTTGGGTGATTTAGAAGGTGTGGGAGTTTTTGGAGGTGGTGGAGGAAGGGGGAAATAATGATCAGAATATGTTGTATAAATAAAACTTCCAAGACAAAAATTAGTCAAAGAATCATGCTAGGATTCTGTAAGACATTTTTAACCGACTAGAGCTGTAAATTTTCACACTAGCATTCTGCATTAATGGATTCCCCATCCTCAGACATTTCCCCCCCCCCCAAACTCTCCTTATAAGAAATATTACATTAAAAACACAGTGCCCCTGGGTCCTCATCATTGTCTGTCATAACTTGGGAGAGATTGCCATGCAGAGTCATAAGGAAGTGGGTGGGGCTTCTTTTTCAGATGAATGAGGAAGTTGGGTGATTCAGAGAGAGCCTGATGTGTGTAAACACAAGTGTGCTGGGCACAAGACTTGGCACCATCACAGCTGGAGAGGACATCCCAGCAACTGGACAGGGGCCATGGAGAGGAAGCTGGGAGCTGTGCTGGGGATTCTGTGTGTGCAGATTTGCTGTGAGTTGTGCTCTCCTACATTGCTTTTGGGATTCTCCAGAGATGTCAGGGTGGAGAGGATTAGCCAACCTAGAGCTCCTGAGCAGTCATCCTCAAGGTGTCTCCTGGGATATTTGACAGGTGTGGGTGAAAACCCCTCATGATTCTGGTTTGCTTTTCTGATTCCAAGCAGTGGTGAGAGGAGTTGAAGTGGAGCAAAGTCCTTCAGCCCTGAGTCTCCATGAAGGATCCAGTTATGCTCTGACATGCAAGTTTTCTACAACCATGAAAAATGTGCAGTGGTTCCGACAGAATCCCATGGGCAGTCTCAACAATCTTTTTTACCTGGTTCAAGGAATAAAGAAGAATGGGAGATTAACTGCAACATTTGACTCTAAGGAGCGCAACAGCACCCTGCACATCAGGGATGCCCAGCTGGAGGACTCAGGCACCTACCTCTGTGCTGCTGATGCAGTGTTTCCAACAAGCCTGCAGACTTGCCCCAAAGTGCATCTGGGTGTGCAGCTACCACCCTAACACAGGAAGACTCTGCAGGAGGCTTTTGCACAGCTGTGGCTTTATCAGATCTCCACCAATTATCGGGAAGGTGTGAGGAAACACAAAATTACCACAACACAAATTCATACTTCAACTGATATAATACTGACTTGTACAAGGATAAATGCTCTGAAATAAATGCTCTGAAATGAGTAAAATCTACACTTTATTTTAACAAATGCTTCCAGCTCATCTGCTCAACATGAATTTGATTAAATAATTAATTTTGAAGATATAATAAATTATGTTGTACAAAGTCAAGACAAAAGAATCTTAAATCACAACATGACTTCAATAATGTCTTGATATTAAAAATATATTCATTTATTCAATGCACAACCAATATTTTACATAACAAATTATGAGACCCAAATGATACTTTACAAACTAGAGAGATGTCTTTGTGATTTGGATCACAATAACCCATACAGCAAATTGATTCTACAAAATACATACCTACAATGTTATAAACATGCACAAATTCTCATTAAAATATTGCTTTCAAAAACACTGGAAACTTCTTAAAAGTCACACAAAAGGGGACAATTCATTATATAATAATTAAACAAGCTCAAAGTAGTGCTAATTCTCAAGGGATGGTAGCTTATATTCCACATTTGAAAGGCTCTGGCATGGCACTTGTCTCTGCATGGAACTGGAAAGCAGCTAAGCTCCTTCATTCAGGAACTGTCTGTCTTCCCATTGCTGTTTTCAGGTTGAAACAGCAACTAAGTGGTTACAACAGCAACTCAATTAGCTAAAACATTTACATTCTAGAGCTTCTCAAATAACTGACCCCTTGTGATTCATTCAGCTTCATCCCCATTGCTACTATATTTGTTTCAAATATAGATTATCTGGGCTTCCCTGATAATAAACAATTCCTAGTTGTCTGTAAGATTTATGTGAGCATGGATAGAAGTGGTGACACTACAGTGACAGCTTCTACAATATGAATTACTCATTCAGTCATCTCAGAGAGTTCACAAATAGCAACCATCATAATCCTAGCTTCTGGATAGTGTGTGGTAAGGATTTAGGTGAGATTGGAATATTGTAATTAGGCACAGAAAGAGGATACTCTGAAAAGTCTTTCTGACTTATCTTGATATACACCATTTTTCTAATCATCTCCTGATTAATCTGGACATGAAAGTGCTTGTTTAATAATCAAATTAACTTGAGGCCTATGGATAATAATTTTAGAAGTTTTCTAGACATAATATAAAATAAAATAAAAAAACCTGTTTTATTTTCTGTTGTAAATCCTTAAGATCAATGAAAATATAATTTAATTCAAATATAAAGCATAAAAGAATGTATCAAATGAGAAAAGCACCTTCCATTCTTCCACATTTGTATCGGCAGCCTTCATGACAGGATATTCTCTTCATCCCAGACGTTGAGAAGGTCTGCGAGATTTTTCACGTAAAGTTGACAATGCCCTTTCTCTTTTTTTAAAACTGGCCCACAGTAGTATCTGCCTGATTCACAATACCTTTATCCTGTTACAATCATTCATCATCTCTGTTTCCTGTACTGACTTTTCCAGATTTTTCTCTCATCTATTGATTCAGAACTTCAGTTTTCTCATTAGCTTCTGTTAAAGTTCTGAATTCCATTCAGATAGTGAACATGTTCACAGTTCCTTTTAGACAACTGTAATCGGTTGTCACTGTCTTCTCTTGTTCCCAATCAAAATAATTCCTTTCGTGAAAATAATTGTTTCTGGTCATCAATAATGTCCTGACAAGCTGTTCATTCTCTCTTCTTAATGTGTCATTTCCATTTTCTGCCTCTTAATTCAAAGAGTCAAATGACCCTTAATTTTCTTCTCTTTTTTCCTCCACTTTCAAATTCTTGAATATTTTCTTTTTTTCCAAATAGTTTTCTTTTTTAATATGTCTTGTTTCAGTTTTCAAGTATGTTTGAAATTTTTTTCATCTATGTTGACAACAGCTGGTCTGTAATTTTCTTTGTTGGATCTTTGTGTAGTTCAGATATCAGCATAACTAGGTTCATGTAGAAAGAATTAGACAGTGGTTGTCAGCTTCTGTTTTGTGGAATGATTGGGAATTGAAGTTAGTAATGAGTTGTATAATTTCTGTGAAATTGTACACTTCACGTTGGTTTTGATATGCATGGAAACTGCTTTTAACCTACTCTGTTAGTCTCTTCCAATCAGGGAATTTAAACCATTAATTTTGAGAGTGATCACAGAGCAGTGCTCATTGATTTCTTTTATTTGTTGCTATGGAATTTCCGTCCTCTTTTGATTTGCTTGTCTGGAATTTTTTTTTTTTCATGCTTTTCCTGTGTGTGGTTAATTAATATCTTCAGAATTCCCCCTATCATCTTTTCATAGAACTGGATTGGTAAGCAAATATTGGTTGAATTTGATTTATCTTGGAATGTTTTAGTCTCTTCAACACCTGTGATTAATAGTTTTCCTAATTTAGTAGTATAGGCTGGCATCTTTCTGTCAAAGTCTGTGTGACATCTGTCCAGGCTCTTCTGGCCTTTATATTCTCTATTGAGGTGTCCGTTATTGATATATTGTGTTTGCCTTCATGTGTTACTTTATCTTTTTTTCCATTCAGTTTTAAGTATTCTCTCTTTGTTCTGTAAAGTCATTGCCTTGATTATTAAGCTTTACCAGAGAATTTCTTTTCTGGTCCTGTTTATTTGGTGCTCTGTATGCTTCTTGTACCCTGATAGATACCTTCTTGTTTAGAATATAGACATTTTTCTCTATGGTTTTGTTGAAAATATCTTCTGTGACTTTGACTTCTGTTTCTTCTCTTTCCATGTCACTTGTATATTCAGTCTTTTCACAGTGTCCCCAATTTCCTGGATATTTTGTTTCAGGATTTTTGTAAACTTAGGATTTTGTTTGACTGGGGTGTCCATTTCTTTTATCGTGTCTTCAGTGACTGAAGTTCCCTCTTCTGTGTCTTCTGCTCTGTTAGTAGAGCCTAACTTGAGGCTTTATTTTGACCCTAGATTTTTCTTTTCCAGCTTTACATCATTTCACTTCATGTTTTCTTTAGAGATTCTATTTCTACAAACATGTCTTGAGCTGTTTTCTTCATTTTATTCCACTGTTTGTGTTTTCAAGAATTTCATTAAGGGATTTAGTTATATCCTCTTTATTGTCCTTGGGAAAATTCATAACATCTACTTTGATGTCCTTATTTTCTAGTTCAGTTCTCTTGCAGTTTCAAGGTCAATTGCTGTGGGTTACTGGGTTGTTGTGAACACATACTGTCTTGGCTATTAAAGATTGTGTTTATGTGAAGGTGTCAGATGTTGGGATGATGGTGTTTCTATGTTTTGGTTTCTGGTAGTACTTTCATTTAGTGTGTGTTTTCTTTCTTGGTTTCTGTTGAACTCTCTGGATCTTAGTTAAGTGTAGTTCTTAATGCCTGGTAGGGAGTGCTTCTATGGGCCACCGTGTGGTAGAAAGTAACAGTTGTAGGTGAGAATAAAAGGCTGAGAGCAGCTTCAGTAATATGTTAAGGAGATCCTGTTCAAACCAAAGGTGGGGTCCACAAGAAGTTGAGGGTGTGTTGTGAAGAGAGTATCTTGAAGTAGCTTGCTGTAAGGCAAAGAATTATGTGGAGAGATGGAGATGGAAGGGCTAGGGATCCTGGTTCTGAACCAAAAGCTGCAGTGTCCAGTGAATGAATTTGAGAAAGGGATATGTAAGCAAGCTGTTGTCAGGATGAGCATGAGAATGGAGAGATTGTAATGGAGGACATGGAAAACAGTGTGAATGATTTACATGAGTCCCTGCCAGTGTAGTCACTGGGGTAGCAAGTGTTTTTATGTATTGGAGGGTGACATGAAGGAAAGGGGATGGACTAGAGGGGATGTTATGATGATCCACAGGAAAGAGGGAAGCTGAGTCGTCTGAAAGTTTTGGGGGAGTTCCTATGGAACAGAAGCAGACAGGAGCAGCAGGCCCTGCAGATATGGTATGAAACTGGGAAAATTAAAAGGTAGGACAGCAAAGAAAGTGAAGATGCACTCCAGCTTCCTAGGCAGGTGTAGCCAACAGGCTCCCATGTGGAGTGCCTCTATTGGCTTTTTACACAAAGAAATGTGTTGGGGGGGGAGGACATGCAAAGATTTGGTGTAGTTCCCAGTGAATGGAGGAAGAGGGAGAGGAGGCAGGGAAGAAGTCTGTCATAGGGATAGGAATGGTGCCAGTGTGACTAAAATGGAGGACAGGAATGACAGTGAATCTGGACTATCTTCTTCCCAAGCCTGTGTGTACACTGGGTTGCCAGACAGACAGTGTGTGTAGGTATTCTCAGTTGACACAAGAGAAAGGAAATATCCAGAAGTGGGGGTTGGTGTGTCTGTGAGGATCCATGGGAAAGGGGAAAGCTGAATTTATTGCAAGATTTCATAGATTCTCCAGGGAATTCACCACAGTTATTCTTTAAGTAATACACAGTCCCAATCACTGCGTGCTGTGAGAGTAACCCAAATGGATGTTGCCATCTTTAATACCAATGACATCTGCAAACTTTCCTAAAACTAGCTTGTGTATTCGTGATTCTAGGCAGAACTCTCTGGAAGGTAAGATGCAAGCACAAAAACATTGCATCTGTCTTTTCAATAAGAACTCACTGAAGTCAAAGCATTTTTTTTTAATTTATTATTTTACATGTCGATTGCAGTTCCCCTCTCCCTCCCTCCCTCCCTCCCCTCCAGCCCTCCCTCCCTCCTTCCCTCCCTTTTACCCTCTCTGCCCTCTCACATGCACTCTAAACACCCTCCCCTCCCATCCCCCACCCCAATTCCATATGTAGGGGAATGCCATCCAGTTGGGGTCATGTAGATGTGACAGGTCCTGTGAAGTAGGGACTAGGGCTTCTCTCCTGTCTCTAGAAATAAGGCAGTTATCCCTCCATGGGGGATATGTTTGCAAAGTCCTTTTGTGCACCAGGGATACATCCTGGCTCCACAAAATTTAACTTGAAGAACAAGTTACTGGGGAAAAGGATTTCTATTTTTGTTTCCACAGAAAATGAAAAGATGTGGATTCCTTCCAGACTAATGTGGTTTGATCATGCCAGACCGCCTGAAACAGAGTACAAGCTGATCCTACATTCAAAACAGCTGGACAAAACAGCCCTACAGACTACAGCTAGGATATCTGAATCTTCTTCAATCCCCCAAGACAGCGCCCCTTACCAGCAGGAAGTAGTTTGGAAAGAGCGACGCCCAAATTCCCAAA